GGTTCGTAGTTACCGCGTCGCTTCTTTCTTCGCGTTCGTCTGGTATCAGGGTGACGGGGGTTGTTTGCGTTTCGTGGACGGTTTCGGATGGATCAGCTGGTGGAATTTATCTCGAATCTTAACCAGGTCTTGTTTATCGGCGGATAAATATACGGAAATTAAGTTCCGAAAATTAAATTTCGGACTCGTAATTTTCCCCGGGAATCTCGATCCGAACGCATCGGAAAGGTATACCTGGAAAATTAAAGAGACGTAACGCAATCTGGAAATCAGATTGGCAAGGTTGGAACCAGAGCCGAACCGAGGTGAACAGTCTTATCGCTCCCCAGCGACTCGGTATCCATTTCCATCGTAGCCACCGAATTGTCTTCGGCACTGTTTGAGCATTCCGCCCCGTTGGTTTGGTGTTTCATTGATCTGCTTGGCCCTAAACTGGTCTTATTCGGGTCCCTTGTCGGTTCTTTACTTTGTCGAGGCAATAAGGTTAGGCAGGCCAAGCATCGAGCGATATTAGACAGACGAGGACGGTTCGCCCAGAATCTAGGTCCTCCTCGCCAGCCTGCTCTTTCAACCGCCCTCGTCCCCTTACCTGTCTCTAAACAAATTTAATAAAGCCACGATTTCCGTGCCAATTTCAGCCCTTAAGAGATTGCCTGCCACCTTCGATCTAGACAATGTCGCTTAACGCGATATACGCGAGGGGATCGTTGACCGATCCGCGAGGGATCAGCCGGTTATCTCTCGAGCTTCTCGCAATTACCACTGCTAATTAACGCGGATTTTAATCGTCCAGGTGGAATTCCAAGAAGAAATTAAAGAAATGAAATATCCTCGTACACCAAACACCGACACCGTCGCGATCGCACCCTTCTACCACCGAGCTCTCGATCGAAAAATCTTCATCCCCCTTCGAGGTTTAATTTTTCCAACGCGTCGCCTTCCCCGATTCTCAACCACGTTCGTTCACACGCGCCACAAACACCGTGGAATCCCCATGGAAGCACGACGAGAGCGATGACGCGGACGTAGGCGCTTTCACCGGCTTTCTTCCGTACAACTATATCACTGTCGGCAGCTCACTTCTCGGCCCCGAGAGTATTATTAGTCTTTGGAGTTAGGGAGTACGCATGGACTCGAATCTCCAGGCTCGCTCGCATGGTTAACTTCTGCAAACAGGAATTACCATTTTATTGGGCGAGTTCTGCCACCCTCTTACCGCCGGCCCCTTCCCAGCCCCTCTCTGCCGCACTTCACAGCGACCCCTAACGCGACGATTGGAATACCTAATCGTTCAGGGACCATTCAGCACCATTGTTCCAGCGAGCCGGCGTTGTTGGTGCTGTTAACGTCGAATCCTTTCACGCCCCGTCACCGCGCCCGCCCCCGCTTTTTTTCCCGCCACCCTCGAAAAAGATAACCAGCCAGCGCGCCACTCGTCCAACCCAGGCTTGATTTATGCAGTTTTGCAGATTTTTCCTGCTTTCGCTTTTTCGTTTCTCCACCTCCTTTTTTCCCTGCTTTTTCCCGCTTTTTTTCCACGTTTTTCTTTTTTTTTTTTTATTTTCCAGTCGGGCTGAACGGAGAAGGGGTAGCGATCCTTTGTAGCCGGTAGTGCTACGGCACGGCAGACGAATTACGGGGTGGTAGAGGCGTTTTTCGATTATGATTTTACCTCCACGTTGGTGGTTCGAGGATATTGTCGCGTTCACGGTTTCGATTTTCTAGACGAGAAGAGTCGTGTTCCCGGTGTAACCTGTTAGTTTATTTATCGCTGTCATTAAACGTCGATCGCTTAATGCCGGTTTTTATAGACTCGCGTCGCGATATTCAACTATTCGACTATACACGCTGCTTCTCCTTCGGTTGACCGCTTTTCGAGGCTCGAATAATTCAGCAGTTTCACCGACGTGTGATTTTTCCCCGATAAAAATCCGTGCAAACGGGAACGCGCGATTCCAGCGTATTTCGAGAATATACCGAAACGGTTTACAGCCAGATTCGCGATAATTGCGCGTGAAACGTGCCGAGCATTAAAAAATAATGCGAGAGCATTTAACTGTCACGGTGCATTAAACGGTAACCACGCGGAGCAGAAACGTTCGTTCGGCGATTTTTAATAATTCCCTCGTTTTTATTTCCCCCACCCTCGGGCTTTCGGCTGCTAGAATTAGCCCGGGCAGGTCTTCGATTTCAATTAAGTCGAAAGTAAGGCGAACAATGAGGCGAGGCGGCGCCAACTTGGCTCGACGTTCTCCGCGAAATTAATTAAGCCTTAATTGAAATCGTTCTTTGAAATGCTAATTCTTTAACAAATACGCGCGGCCTCGCGCGGAACAATTAAAAATCCGTGGGACCGTCGTCCGTCACTCTCTTTCTCCTTCTGCACCCTTCCCGGCCGGATTCGTGCCGCTTTTTCCTTTCCTTTCCGCGTTATTAACGCGTGTGCCCGTCGTACGAAACCGTTCGAACGGAGGCCTCAGGTGCGAGGCGTGCGGGAGGAAAACTGAAACGGAACGATCGATCTGCCCGGGTTGGAAAAAAGAAAAGGGGAAGAAAAAAGAGAACAGGGTAGAAAAAAAGGGTAGACACAGATGGAAGGGACATTCATCGAGGTGATCTGGCAAAAAAGCGCGCAATTTCAGCGCGATGAATCGCGATGCCAGCGAGTTTCCTCGATGCACCGTCGTTTTTCGCGACTCGCCAGCCGACAGGGTCTGTCTGTTCAAGCGAACGTGTGGTATGATTAAATATGTACATCAAATTTTATTTCATCACGAGCAGGTATATATACAAATAGACATTCGGGGGTGGGTAACTGTCTACGTTCTTTCTTCACCCTCTACTTGCTTCTCCGACGCCGCTGTTTGGGTAGCGGACTGGCAGGGACGTCGACGAGGATCGAGCAGCTTGCCGAACGAAACGAGACACAGACGAGTATTCCAATGAAAATATGGGAACCTGACGACAGTTCTTCGCACTCGCGATACTCGAAGAAACGCGAATTTACTCGTTTCCTCCCGACAAGCTGCTGGATCTCGCGCGCGCGCGGACCATCCGGCCAGTCCACCTCCGAGCGATCGTGTTCGCATAATCGTAATCGCTTTATTACGTAACTTTATGCACAATTTTTCGCCTTAACGTATTAATACTGCAGAATATTGTTTATGTCAAAACGCGTCTCCTCGCCGTCTCCATCTGTCCGTACTTTGAACCTCTATGCTACGAGAAATATCGACCTAGTCTCTCAGGGTTCGTCGCATCGCTCGATCAGCCCCGATCGAGTGGTTCGCTAACAAATTCTGGAAGAATTTCGCCCGATTAAAAGGGGGACACTTGACGCTCGACGTTCAATTCGACGAGCTAATCGAATGATCTCGCGAGCCTTTCAGCCGCGGTTTGTCCATTTTCCGTGGCCATCCACGTCGACGTGTGGCGCGAGTGACAAGTGTCGCCCGTAAAATAGCAGATATTTCCACGAGTCTACGCTCGTTTCGCGCTCGTTCTATCCGAGGTACATGATTATCAAACAGTTATGCTAATCGTATTTCGGATACAAGACCAGTTTACGCGGGAGAAACGATCGCCTCGGCCGGTCTGGGCCATTGACCCTTCGCGGTTTGTACCAATTCATTTCGCTCGAGATACAGCCACTTTGCATATTTAAACGCTCGCTGATCAACGCCACCGACTCTCGTTCCGCTCCCGTCGTTCGTCTCCGATATTCCCAAAAGCGGGACGCGTGGCCCGAAGCGATTACTCGGATTCGTCGATGACAGCAGCGTGGACGATCGGTCAGGAGCGAGACGGGAATCGGTAGGATCCAAAAGCGTCGAGAGATCTCGAAGAGATCGACACGCTTCGTCTCCATCGAATTTTACCCTTCGTCGATCGTTACGTTAACATCGGGAACGCTCGAGGAGACGATTCGCGAGTCGATCGGGAATTTTCATCGGCGACTGAACTCGGAACACGAGAGCCCGATGATAGACTGCTCCGTCGATCGTGTTCAGAGATGAAGAATCGGAGACGGTTCAGCTGCCGAATCGAACATCCCGTCCGCATGCTCGACGCGTGGCTCGTGGCTTCCGTTACAAATTTACAGGTCTGAGTGATTCGAACGTTCCGGATCGTCAGTCGCTTCTTCGATTCGCGCAAAATAAAACCTCTGTCCGCCGCAGCGACGCGATAGAACGCGGTCTACCGCGAACTCGAACCTCGTTAAAACTATACGTAATATATTACTTACTGAGCTGAATCGTTCAGGAAGTTATGGGAGGGGATCCTTCGCAGCCCTCGAGCTAACCGGAAAGAAACGTCTTTGGATCTTACAGCTACTCTCTTCATCCGCAACGCACTACGAAAAGTCTCTCTGACCTCTTTCTCTTCCCGTTTATTGCACTATTATTCTGTACTAGTTCGACGCTGTGCCAAAAATCTGATCGTCCAAGGGAACAGGACGTGCTCGAGCTCGATAACTCATCCGACAAACCTTTGAAACCCTCTTCTCTCTCTACCTTGCTTTCACCCTTGCACCCCTCTATCACTCGAACGGAACGTCTGGCTCGATCGTCCCGTATCAAAGAACGATATAACAAATTTGATTTATCAATCAGCTAGGTAATAACCAACGACTAGCCCTCCTATCCTCTCGTTCTCGATTACCACTGAAAATTAGTACTCGAACGCGTTGATCGTCCCTTTTCTCGTCCAGCGTATCCGCTCTTGTACTCTTCGGCGTGTTCGATAACCGATAAAGCGGCTCGGGGCCGCGGAATAGAAACGACCAGTTCACAGTCGTTCACAGAGCGTAGAAAGAGGGACGAGGGAACGTGTTTGTCGATCCGTCTGTGCCCGTTGCCGGACATTTTCTCCGGCCTCGAAGGGTCCAGTCGAAGAGGGAGTGGTAGTTTCGCTTCTCGTCACGCCCGCGGTGTTAAAAGCGTGGCCACGGCCAGGCCGTACTCGGGTAGATACTGCCTTCCTGGGTCGTACGTTAAACTTCAGACCATTTGCAATCCTTTGGTGATGCTCTCGACGTGCTCCTTGGCCCGCATTCTCAGGGCCTGGATGCTGGTCGTGCGCGGATCGTGGCCTGGCGGACTCGGTGGCGCTGCTGGCACGTGACCTCCGCTTCCTATGCTCGCCATTCCTCCGCTTAGGGCACCTGAGGACCGAGGAAATGATTTCCGTTTTCAACCTCGTTCGCTGATGAATAACATTGGCCAATCTGATGAGGGAAATTTGCGTCAAAATCCAAGTTCTCGAGTCGATTCGCTATTTTGCGGGGGATTTTTAAGCGTCTACTTGGATAACCCGATTACCGATTGACTAATCGATCGTTTCAAGAATTTCTCACACGGCTAGAATTCGACAAGGGGTAGCAGGTGTCGAGGTATATCGAGTATCTCACCTGGTACAGCGTTTCCAACGGCACCGACGTTCGGTGGCGACGGCAATCGTCTAGGAGACGTTAGATAACTGGGATATCCCGAGTGAGGTGCAGCCAGAAAGCCAGGAAGAGCGCTCAATAGCCCCGGAGGAGTGAGCCAAGGATCCCCCGGTAAACCCAATGCCGGGCCAGCCACGTTTCTGCAAGGGAAACCATAAATTTCCATCGATGTGTCCTCAATAACGAACGAAAGACGAAGAACACCAGTGTATCGAACGTTACCTCATATTTGCAGGATGATGGTACTCGCTGAGGCCGAGTCTCGCGGCTTCCATCTTCTCCTGCCTGCGCCATTTTGCCCGCCTGTTCTGGAACCATACCTGCAACACGAAAGCACGGGGGTTATCGCGTATTACGCGTTAGTTCGATTCAGACTGGATCTCTGGGACGCTCGAAAACGCGGATCGAAAGTTGGTTTTCGATCGAGGGACGCGAGTTAGGTTGGGTGTACCTTTCAACGAAAGTCATGCATTCCGATGGTACAATCGAGCGTCGGAAACGGGTAAGCAACGCGGTTAGCAACGAGTTGGTCGTAAAGCCATTGGTTCGTGAAATTCGCCGTGCAGGAGCGTAGGAGCTTTTCGACGAGTTGGCAAAAGAAAAACAAACCCCGAGCAAGGGTAGCCAGAAAATGGAGTTCCTTTGGCGACTCGCGATACCGTGCAGGCGAGAAAAGTGGCTGCCAAAGCTCTCTTATCCCCTTTCTTCCTCTCTTTCACCGATTCCCATTCTCCCTTCCAGCGCACCCCTCTTTCACGCTCGATCCTCTCTCGTTGCCTCTCTCTCTCACCCTCTCAGTCCCCTTCGATCTCCCTAACCGCGGCGTTGGTTTCTTCGAGTTCGCCGTCTCGCTCGTCCGACCACCGAGAAAGGAGGGTTGAGGAGAAATGTCTCTGGGCGGGGCGGTCCACCCCTGGAGGCAGCACGGGGCCAAGAAAAGGAGGTAAGAAGGGAGCTCGTAGGGTGAGGAGAGTCCGCGCGGGGACCACCCTTCCTCGACATCAAGAGGGTAACGAGGGTAACTGCGGGGCGAAATCGAAAGTGAGCGACGTGACGGCGGTCTCTCCGCTCCCAAGGTGGACCGAAGGAGGGCAGGAGAGAGAACGGCACCCGTGACATTCGAGGAGGGACGAAAAGGACGGTCGGCCATGTTGATTTCTTTATTGTAACATGGCTGCTGTTGGCAGCCCGCTAAAGTCTATCGCGATAAGTATCGGCTGCTGGCTTCTCGCCTTATGAATTATTCAGTGCCGCAGAGACACGCCGATAGGCCCTATTCCGTTTGCTCCGTGACGAGTGTACGCGAGCGAGGGAGAAAGTGCACGGGGGAAGGGAAGAAAGGACGAAGGAGAGAGGGATCCGTCGATACCGGGCGATCGGTCAGCCATGGGCAGCCTTTTTTGGCCCTGCCGTGAAATCGCGTCGTCACGATCGCGTAGATTGCCAGTCACGGTTCGCGCGTCGGGCGTGAATAAGTAATTCCTTCTCCGAGTATCGAGGCGCGAGGTTCAAGAAAATGGCTTCCGAATCTCGAGCGGTTAACACTCGCTAAGTCTCTGCCTCGATGAATACCGATAATTAACGCAACCTTCGGCTTTCGTCGACGTCCGGAGACGGCGGATAAACCGATGGGATTCGGGGGCGGGAATCTTCAGGTACCGAAATTGAATTTTCCAGCAAGACTTCCGTCGCAACGAATATCCTGCTCGTTTCCGGCAGCTGTGATAGAACGCGCGTGCGTCTTCAAACAAGCTCTCTGTACACTCTATCTCTCGTCGTCTTGTTTCACGACGACTCGAAGACGATCCAGATTTTCTCTCCATCTCGCGCCATTTTCCGTTTCATTCCACGAATTCGTCGTTCCATCGATAGCCTTTTCCCGCGTTGGCAGCGACGAGAAGCGTCTCGTTGGAATAACGAAGAAATTGGATGGCCCGTCGACGACGCGATTACTAGAAGATGGCGTCGAAAAGAGGAAAGAGAAGGTTCCAAAAATACGGAAGGAAGTAAAGCATCCGTGTTAGACGGATAACTGGTGAGGCAGCATTCCCGGGCTTATCAGAACGTTATTCCGTCCTCGAGGACAAGAAGTAATTTTCTTTCCTTGCTCGGTGGATGAGGAAAGGCAATAGACAAGATGCCACGTCGAAGTGATGGGAAAATAAGCGAATTTCCCTTCGTATCTCTTATATATCCACTTCTTCCTCTCATTCTTCCACCGTCTTGTTCCCACCCTCTCTTTGTCCCTCTGCCTCCTCCGTCTTTCTCGGTCTTCATCCCCTCGATCAACGATGCCTGTCGCGTATACAACACCGTACCCATCTTTCTCTCCTCTCTGTCCTCCAGAAGGAAGAAACTTCTCTTTTCTCCGGAAATATAAAGAACAGGGCTAACGCGGCTTAACCATTTTAGGTCGTAAATTTATTAGAGTAGGTACTTCCACCTTTTCCATCTCCGACCCATCTTCCTCCGCCCACCTTCTACGTTTCGCTCCTCATCCTTCGGCTCTGTTCTTCCTCGGCCAGCCAGCCATCCATCCACCCACCCCGAAGCCCCTTTCTCGATGCAGCACCACGCTCCTCGGCAATGATATTGCGAAGGTAAACTCGCTTAGACGGTTTAAATGCAAGAAAATTGGAATAAAATGGAAGTAATTCCAGGATTAAAATTGCACGTTCAGTTTGCCTGCGTGAACACGGCCTGGCCGCGGGGCCACAATTTCCGGGGCGCATGATCGGTGAGGATTTAGACCTTCGGAGTACCCTAGTCCCTTACCATTTTCTTTACACACGCTTCGATCCTCTTTCACGCGCGAGAATCGGAAAATTCCTATTGCCCTCGCAAATCGAAGTATCGAATTTGTCCCCCGTCAAAGAGTCGTTGTACTTCAACGAAGCGCCATCGTGGCTTGAAAAAAAAGAAAAAAAAAAGAGAAAAAAAGAAAATAGAAAAAAAAAGATATAGGGAACTACACACGCACACCTGAAATATCGAATACACGGCGACAAAGAGGCAGAGAGGTAACGGATGTACGATTTTCGTTAACGATTTTTGCTTCCACTTCGCGCGCGGGCCACGCTGGGAACGCGGCCGAAATCGCGTTCACGCCAAGCCCCGTTACTTTCGACAGAAAACCACTTTGCTGGCGGTGCGCTTTGCAGTTGGACCCGTAAAATCTCGGCCCCCCTCACGGTTTACGGAAACACGGGCAAACAGAGTGGTCGTTTACAGGGAAATATCGACGTTAACGTCGTTCAGCGGCCGCGTAACAGCTTTCGTCGATCACCATCGCGATACGATGACGAGGAGCCCGGCTAGGAGGACGTGCGAGGCCCGCGTATCGCGGCAAAAATCACTTTTCCATCGGTTGTTGCCATTTCTTTTATCTCCCTTTCTCACCCCTCGCACCCTCCCGTTATTCCCAATCATCTTCCCGTCTCGAGAGCTCATCGTTCCGGGACGATGATCGCTTTATCCTCGCCGACGACCGACGAATTCGGATTAGCGCCGGTAAAAAGGTATCCAAGAGCCGCTCACGCCACGTCGAACTCATTGTCGTTCGTGCCGGTATTAACAGATTTCGCCTATTGTTAGGCGACTATGGTGGCCTCCGATTTGGCGAAAGAGTTGCGCGCTCGGAGAGGTGTCAGCAGGAGTTTCACGCGTCTGCGGTTTCGTCTCCTTCTCTCACTCGCGGGGTGTCGCGCTCTTCTCTATCCCTAGGGTACTTCCCCGCTGAAGCAGTCGAGTCTTTGCACCTCGTTTCGACCAATTTCCAACGATCTTTCAGCGAATTCGTCACGAAACGCGACGAATCGCGAGTATCGCGTGGCCAGAATTAAACGAGAAAATCGAGAAACGGGGAAGAGGCTTGGAAAAAAGGCACAAGTGTTGCCTCTGTCAAGGATGCAACGTGCGACACGATGTTTCGAATGGTCGAGGAGGGTCAGGGACATCGGTTATTTCTCCTTCGAGTACATTACAAGTTTATCAAAGCTCGATCGTGGATGCAGCGCGAGGGGCCCGAGGGACGAGGGGTGGCCACGTTTCGAATATAAGCCTAGATTCCGGTCCAAGGCACCGTGACCGTGGTATGCATAGAGAAGGGAGATGTTTGGAGAGGGTTGGAGTCTATTATTCAGCGTGCTTTTTATGCCCCCCTCCCGTCTCTAGGCGAGCACTCTCCTTCTCTACCGTAGCCCCATGCTATTTCTCCCTTCTCCATCGGGCCCTGTCAAACTGTCGTGCAAATTCAATTCTATACAGTCGTTCTCATTTCGATACCGGCCGTGGGCCGGCAGAAGCGTGCCGGCAGATAGGGCAGCAACACGGTCTCTGTCTGGTCGCCTATGCATCCGCACTGCGGATACGTTCGAGGATAATTGACGATGCGGCGTGACTCGTGCAGCGTGCGAGTTAAATCAATTCCAGCGGGCGGAGGGTGGTCGGTTTCTAGTTAAACGGGACGAGTTGGCTCGCTGATGATCGCTCGACTTTCCTAACCGTTTTGATTTTCGACGCCATTCGCGCTATCTCACGGCAGGGAGATACACACGGACGGTAAACCGTGTTCCTTTTCTTCTCGAATCGTCAGATCTTCTTATTCCGTATTCGAAGACCTCGGATAATTAGGTGTACGTTCAGATGGGAAATGTGCCCGGGGTTTAAGAGGCAGACGGTTGAGAGGAAGTTAGGAATTGGAAGATTAGGGAGCCCCTGTTACCGCGTCGGATGAGCGCCACTGGCAGACTCCTCCAATAAAGCCACCCCTGTCGTTGCGTGTAATCACCCTTAAACACTCCAACGCCCCGGTCTAACCCCGGCGTACTGCGATACAATACTAATGTGCTACAAATAACATCCCAAACACGAGGCGATTTCACTTTTACAATGAGCCTAAACGGGCCCCGTGTGCGACACAACGACGGATACGGCGTAGGATCGTTCGCTCGTCGTCGAGAGGATCCTCGTGCACCCGTTGCCGAACAATGAGCCTCGCTGCGCGTTTCCTTTCGAGATGCAGATCCTCGAGATCCCTTTTCGTCGCGAAGTCAATCGATGAACGAGCAGTCGACGTTACTCCGAGCTGGATAAGATTCGTGGAAATGTAAACGTAGATTCGGACCTAGCACCTGTCACGGGAACCTTATTTTATGAGGAGGTATCGAGAAAGCAGGAGGACTGAAAAATAATAGGACTGAAATATAAACTTGAGAAATAATTTCGACGCGAATTTCGCGGAGGATCGAGATTGTTTGCGTTACTCGACGATATTTATCGAACCAAGCGCGAAGATAAATACGCGGGTATCTCGGATATT